AATCCCTTTTTGTCTCAAATCCTTTAACAAGGTTTTACAAGCACTAACTATGAATCAAAATCAAGTCCAACTGCCCGCCAACACTTCTTGAAACCAACAGTCTTGAAATTGATTGCTTACACGTGGTTATTTTAACTTCTGAGTTTTGAACTGTATTGTTCAGTACAAGTAGTTTACGTCAGCATATTCAGGTCAGTAGGACAAGTTCAATAACAACTGAACTTGTTAAAGGTGATATTTTTATTTTGCAAATTATGCAACTTGATTTACGCAGTGACCATGTAATTGTGTGCGCAATTGATGGGAACCTTACGAGTGTTATCAACCATTCTCCCACAATTACGACTTAAAATTTATCAGTTGCGTCTGGGTCAAGGGTGCCATGTGTTGGCTATCAAATCAGTCTCGTGTCGATTATATAATTTTTGGAGGATCGATTAGACATTTCAATCATTCAAGTTTATTTGTTTTTGATTGTTGTAATCTTTGTAACATTTTGCTGCAGATGTTGTTTTTAGATGATAATTTTGTTACACGGGTGTAGTGTTAAGTGTGTATCTTGAACTAAACTAATCGTTTGGCTTTGCCCGTATTGTTTATCAACCGGTTGATTTCTGGTACTTAAATTTGATTTTTAGTTTCATTATTATAACACTATACAGTGTGGAAAAAGGTGTCAAAACAGTTGAATATTTCAAAAAGTAATACAGATAGAGCTACAAAACTTGGCACATAGTTACAAAGCGTTAAAATAATTTCAACACATTATTCGGTGATATGCTACCTCCTCAGGGGGATGGCCTGCTAGTAGTCAGAAGAAAGAAGTAGTACGTATAGGTTAATATACATCAACTTAAAGGTCTTTGTTTGTAAAAAAATTCTGCAAACACAAAACTCTTAACTGACGGCTAAGTAAAAAATAACAGCCATTCAAAGATTACTTGAATTTTCAATTTTGAATCTTTGAATGGCTGCCAATATTGACTAAGTTTTTTTTTTATTTTTATTTATTTTTTTTTTTTTTTGCTCAAATTTGCATATTTGTCCACATTGTTTCCAAGCTTATTTGAATTTTTTAAACACAATTTGTAACTTCACCCACTAAAACTTATTGATGAGAGAAAAATAATAGCCTACAGTAGTTTGCACACAATTCAAGGTTAGGCTGCATAGACCAAAGGAAACTGTCAGCAATTTTATATATGGGATTGTGCACGTGCGACTGTGCAGGCAGTCAAATAATTCCAGTTTGAAAATGTATTGCATCTAATTAGAAATTTTCCATCCGTTTCCTTTCTTGTGTACCCTAAGTCTCACAAGCTAAAGGCTAAACCAAAATTGACACCCCACTTGGTGAAACAATTTGTTACAACAACAAATTCTATTGAATGCTCTTTTGATGATTTATTTATTTGAGTTGAATATATTTCATTATAGTTAGCTATGTGAAGAAATTGGTATTTAGTGAACTTGACTAGTGAAAATTTTTGATTTCCATATTCAATTATGAGGCAGGTCTGCGTTTTGCATGTGTCATGTTTCAGAGAGATAATTGTACCCCCTCCCTCCTTCTGTTAGAGAATTTTTCTCTTACCTGTGCCCCCAAAAAAACTTAAAACCTTTTGTGCCCATGTGTTCATAAAAAAGAGGTCTTTGATATAATGCACTGTCTTTTGATTCAGTGGGATATTTTTGATAGTTATGAATTGGTTCAGTTAGTTAAAGGTTTAAATCCCCAAATTCTTGATTAAGGCTTTCTAAAGTTGGCCATTACCTGAAAGATAAACTAAAGTAATATGATTTAAAAGATTATCTAAGAGACTTGATTGGGGAACAAACATAGTTTTTCACTACCTGGTTCATGTCATGTCAAGATTAGATTAGGTTAGAAACAGTTATGTTAGCCACACCTGTTATTTGATAATGCTAACAGCTGAGGTTTAATGACCTCATCTTTATTAATAAGTTTGGTGACCCATTGATGTCTAGTCAAATTCATCTGTAAACCATCTGTAAAATCAAGATTCGGATCTGTAACTATGTGGGGGGACTTTAATATTTATAAACCAAATTTCACTTCATAAACTTATATTAAAGTTGATCAAAGTGTAAATTAAATTTTTTTCCAACATTACCAATAAATATTACAAAAAATCTGTAGTGCCTCAGTTCTAATATTTGAAAAAAATATGTTTTTGGTTAATTGCAATTATAAAATAATACACTTACAAGGAGTGTAACGGCTTATTTAGTTTTTTTAGGGAATGGTTTTAAACATTTTGTACAGTCGGATAATAGATTACTTGAAAAAGGTTTTCTTAATAAGACAAATTCATGGAATTAACTTTAAAATTAAGTAAATTAAGTTTTTAAATTGGTCACAGAAACTCATACTTGGAATGTAATTTGCCAAAGTATCCCTTCCTTTTCCTTTCCTTTCTTTTCCTTTCCTTTTCTGATAGGAGGAAAATACTTATAATCAAAGCCATCACATTGTTTAGATAATATTACTACCATGAACAGTTTATTAAACACCATAGTTGTTATTTCAAATTGCCAATATTTTAGCTGCCCTATTTAAAAAAGAAATAAGTGTAAACCCAAACAACGTGCGAGTAATAAACGAGTGTTTTTAAGTCATCAGAAGATATTGAATAATTGTCTTTTCTCTCCCTATACATTGAATGGAGAAAGTATTGTTGTTGTTAGAGTTGCCTAGCTTGAGTCAGTGGCGGTTCCAAGGGGGTGCTATAAGGGCTAAACCCTCCATTGGACCTTGGAATTATAAAATATAAAACATACATTTTGTCATAAAAATGTAATTAATGTTTTTGAAAACAGTTAAAAATGCTAAAATGGTTTATAAAATAGCAAATTTTACAGGGGAAAACCCCCTCCTGGTGTGGAATACAGTACCCCCATTAACCCCCCCCCCCCCCTTGACAAGGTTAAAAAAAAGTTATGTATGTATGTTTGTCTGGGTTTGTACATAGCTATAGACTACACATGTGGTCCAATTTTGATTAATTTTGGTATGTGGATACTAATCCATGTTTTTTTTTTCATTATTTTGAATTTATGATTTTAATGGTGATTTTTTCATTAAATAACAGAATGAATCAGACAAAAAATGACTTGAACAATTTTGATTAGGATTTAATTTTTTTATGTTTTGGTTATTTCAACCCTAAACAAAATGATACCACCAATAATTTCTTTGTAATTACAGTTCAAAAATGTTACCCAAGAAATAGTTAATCCAACCTCTTACCCATTAGGCTTAAAGGTTGGTTGACAAGCTAATGGGAGGAAGTAAGTGTCAGTTTTCTAATTTATCTTACATTTTGTGTGTTTCCCCTGAGTTTCATTCAAAATTGTTTTTGAAACCGGTTAGTCCATTTGCGCTAGAAAGGAGACTTCACTTTTTAAACACCTACACAACTTTGATTACAATTTGCAGTTAAACTTGTTCAGTGTCAATAGAGTATTAGATTTGCTAATCAGGAGTTAAGACAATGTAAGATTGCGTGCAAATGTGCTATCTAGGCACTTGCCTCGTGGATTCAGGGTCATGGAAGAGAACCTTCATTTTGTAATAAGTTGAGTCATTGCAACATTGCATGAGGTTGTTTTCCTTCTTAATTGACTGATAATAATCGTTTTTTTGTGATGACTCTGTTATTATTCCAAACAACTGCAATGTCAATGAGCTTTTACTACGCAGATTAATTTTTGTTTTTAGTGTGAAGTCATATTTGAATATCGCTGTTGGGAATTAAATTATAAACCAATATTATATTCCAATTACATAATTTTGTCATTAAATCATAAAATAGGTAATTAATTTTTAAACAAAATTACAAAAAAAATTTGGCTTAATGTGTGATACGGTAAGTTATTATGAAGAAGAGTTTTGTTTCCTTTGTCCTGGAAGCTGAATCTCACATAAATTATCAACATTTTTGTATAGCTTTTATATTTAGTCCAATAGTAGGGCCTACCTAGTCTACAAACTATATGTAGACTATACAGAAAAAATCCTTAACCATACCAGAGTTTGTACAAGGGAGTATGTTTAATCTATGATAGAATCTCATGAAAAATAAATACAATAGATGTATGTCTCTTTGTTTTGAATATCTCCCTTTGAACTAAATTTAATGTGGTTAGCCATTGAAGCCATGTACTACATTGTGCTATGCAAACAAATCGATTCTCCAGTGAAAACTGCAACATGTTTATCATTCCAGTTATTTTTTATTTAAGATTACTCTACTCCTGCAGAACTGATAGTTTGTCTCTGACTAAATTTTAAAATACTAACGAGACAGCTGTGTTTATTATTTTATAGAGATCGCCGACACATCCTATCTTCCACTTTTTGTAACGAGCTTACCATGTATGGAAACGGTAACTATGAATGCACTAACGAGGAAAACATATACGCTAATGGTTCAAATCTGGTGGGGTAGCTAAGACTATTTTTTTTTTCATTTTTGACCAACAAAACATAAAAAATTGCAATTTCTTTCCAAACCATTTTGTAGAGCTTAAAAAACAAATTACCCCTCAATTTCCGATAAAAGAATTACTGTTTTGGAGAATAAGTAAACTGTTGCAATTTGCTTTTTGATCAAACATGGCTAATTTATTTAATTTATTAGTTAGCTATTGTTTTTTTCACTAAAAACACATTAATACTTTCCCTGTAGCAGCAAACCTGAATACTCATTAAAAAAACCTAGTATTATTCAAATAGGGAATAAATCCGACTACTTAAACGGAATATTTTAGTGGTTATCCAACCAGGTAAATGGAATTTCACTTAGTTTGCAGGGTTGCTGTATTTGATTTTATGGTTTGTTTACTACGGTACTTCAGGGTTGGAGATGCTATGTAGACAAGCTACGTCTTAGTTTCAGAAGAAAGTTAGGTGATATGTTACTCATGTTTTCAACAAAAATGTTAACAGTGAAAACTAATTCAAATCTTTATTACAGATGGCAGTTAGATCGAGCATGTTTCGCAATGACTTGGATCCTGTAGTGGGATTATTCAACCAATTCGAGGAGTGAGTATTAAAGTCTTAAGTGGTAAATTTATCAGGCTACGAACGTCAAAAAGTAGCAAATTAATCCTTGAATCTGAAGAGGCGAGGTACTTCTGGTTCTGCATTGCCTCCTCAACGGCCAAGTCCGGGCCCACTGAAACCGCTGTGGCTAGTAGCACTGATTCATATAGAGCATCCGTACAATGTTTTTGTTTACATGTTTGTCATAACTGTTATTACCATGGCAATAGGCCGGGGAATGTGACATTACCACAATGTTCGCCTTAGCCTTGAGTTAGAGGAGGCTATGACTGGGACCAGAATTGAATGAAAAAATACCAATAAAGCTCTCTGGGTATTTGAAGTTTAATCAAACAAATGACCCATCATATTCATCTATCTATACTATATTGAGGTGATGTCTGCCTGTTTGTCTGTGGGGCTGTCACGACTAAAATACTAATTAAAGTATTTTTTCAGTCCTGTAATAGAGAAGAAGGCAGCAGTAGATCAAGGTTTTCGAGATTACCTGATTGTGCTGCTTGGTAAACCACAGCCGATATCTCTATGGGAGAGGTTCGTCAAGCGCTGCGTGGAGGCTAGTCAGGCTGACATGGCGTCGGGAGGCATGCCTGTCATTCTACTCGGAGACCTGTTCGACTGTCTCACGCTGGACCAGTGTGAACAGCTGTTTACCTTCGTAGAAGACAACGTCGCTATTTGGAAAGAGGACGTGTTTTTTGCCGCTTGCAAGAATAACTTGCTGAGGATGTGCAACGGTGAGTTTGGCGTATGTCGTGAATCAAATGTTTGTTAAGCTAAGAATTAGTAGGTGATGTTAAATTTGTTTTGGCATGTCAAGAGGATAAACTGCAAAAATATATAAAATCAGTATTGTTGAAGTCAAACTTATGAAACAGTTAACAATTGAACTTTTTTAAAACATAACAATCCTACTAGTGTACATTATTATACTTTTACTACTAAGTTTAAAAATATACTTTTTTCTATGAACTTAGGCCGGCTGAAATCAAAGTGCAAATTTTGATGAATGAATTGTGTTGTGTGGGTTTTTTACTAGAATATTGTTTTCAAATCAAATTTTTCTAGATGATTATTATTAAGCTACAATACTGTAGCCATCAAATAATAAGGGATATCAAGTGTTTACATATTTTTTCTTTCTTGACTTAAAAAAGTAAGTGTTTTTCAATTTTTTTTACCAGTTGTTGCTGTGAATATAAAATACCAATTGAGTTAAAAACAAAACAATCAATTTTAAACTACAGTAAAAATAACTTTCAAGAGCGCTATTTTGCATTTTAATTTTTAGGGAAGAAAATAATTAATAATAACTGAACAAACACGTTTTCACCACCCCAAGAATAACTTCTAACATTGTTTTGTTACTTTTCAAAGAAAGTGTTTATTTTTCAATTATAGTTATTAGTTGTGGTAATGTTTCAGATCTTCTTCGTCGACTCTCTCGATCACAAAACACAGTCTTCTGCGGACGAATTCTCCTTTTCCTGGCCAAGTTTTTCCCTTTTTCGGAACGTTCTGGTAAGAATAAAATATTGACATATATGTTGGTTTTTCAACACTCATTTTATTCATTCATAACTTGCAGTGTTTTAACTTCAACCTGATACAAGGCTATAGAAATTTTTACAGAACCTAGAGCTTGCCTAAACAGTACTTTTTACGCTTATTTTTTTTCACAACATCACAGTAATTCTAAAAAAATCATGGGGGGGGGTTTATAAAATGCATTATCATTTAAATCAAATATTTTTCACGTAACATTTTTAAATTGAGAATTACATGAATCAGACTCCATAACATTAAAATTTGCTGGTAAAATATTCGGATTGCTTTAAAGAATCCTGTATTTTTTCAGGCCTTAACATCGTAAGTGAATTCAACATTGACAATATCACAGAATTTGAAGGTGAAGAAAATGCTGATTTTAGAGAGGACGAGGGATTGGATGATTCAATTAGGGAAGTTGAAGATCAAAAGTAAGGCTACATTGTTATTCCTGTTTAGAAACAGTTACTTGTTTGTTTCAAATACTGTTTAAAATGAAAACAATAATTATTTGGCAATAGAGAACACTGTATTTTTTGTATTGCAACGGTAATTTATGCTAAACGTGAGACCGGATTTTCTGACTTGTCTGTAAACACAGTGTAACAATCCTCATAAGCTTCAGCCTCATACTTTTCCCGGTTTCTCATGATTGTAGATTTTCACATTTTTAATTAATTTTGACTTTTTTCCTTTAACACGTTCGCTGCGAGCCACTCAACGGAGAGCGCTCTAGTTACTTTCTACCACGCTAAACGCTCACCGGTGAGTGCTGCCATCGCCTACATTCCATCCAATTTCTGAGCAGCAGCACACCGGGAAGAACGGGTATTTTTATATCTGCGTTTAGCTAGGAATGGGTCTTTAGGTGGTGTAGGTTGGTACCGATAGTAAATTTCCCCGGAAAATTCCCTTCTGGTAAGCTTAGAAATCAACTTGTCCCATTTTTCTCCCTCCTATTGGCAATACAATGGGACCGGCTGGTTCTAGACAGTGCTGCTATCTGTGAGTGTTTCAGCAAACTACGTCGACACTCTTCGTAATGCAGAAAATAACCGCACGTCATTTGCTATTTGTCAGACCAAAATATTTTAAAGCAAAACGGATCCGCTTGACCATTTGGTTGGGCCGCAGCGAACATGTTATTATAACTGTGTAACTCCCTTTTTTGGGTTGTATGTCAATAACTCATTTATTTAGCAAAATTGACATTATACCTGCATTAGCTCAACTCCAATCACACTTACTATTAACTAACTTGCTAAATGTAAAACTAATATTGAAATTCATTTGGACTTCCATCATCAGGAAATGCCCAGGCACTTTTGTAGCCTTTATCCGCAAAAAATGACTTTAAGTGTCTTTTGAAGCATCCAGGGTAGAATGTGGGCTTGATTTGAAGAGGGAGAGAATGGAATAGTGGTGCATTTTAAGTTAGATGTTTTTTCAAATGTAATTGAATGAGCCGGAACTCTCAGATTGGGTCTATACAAAGCAAATGGTGGTTACGATGAGAAAATGAGAATAATTTGAGAAAAGTGAATACTTGTGAATGAATAAAAGAAATCTAAATAATATTCTCAATATCAGGCAAATTAATTTTTTTTCAGGATGAAAATTGACTTCAACCTCTACACTAAGTTCTGGTCCCTCCAAAACTTTTTCCGAAATCCAATTTTGATCTACAGTAAACTTCACTGGAAGACCTTTACAAGTGTAAGTAAGAAATACATATTTTTCTTTTGGTTAAAAATTATTTAATCTATACTAATAAGTTACTTATATCTATCTTATATCATATACAGGTATCAGCCATTTTTTCAGAACATAATTTTATAGAAAATATTTCATTAAATGTCATTTTAACTTGTATTTATTTGGCATCTTCTGAACAAACCTTTTAAGTTCTTAGAACATAACCTCTTTAACAAGTTAAATTGTCCTTGAATAGCCCTCTATACCATCTTGGTGTTTTTTTTAGATTTAATTTTTAAACCCACTGTACATAATTAACATAGTTAACAAATTGTTACTTTTCCACTGTAATTGAGCTAATGTATAAAATCAGAAATCTTAAAAATGTTCTTCATGACATAATAAATGAGTGATATACCAGTGACACAAATAAAGAAACTCTTACATTGCAGCATACAGAGAACGTTCTACAAGCGTTCAAGAGTTTCAAGCTGGAAGGCGTTCAGCAAAAGTTGGTTTCTGCAGATAGTATGGTTTCCGAGACTATCAACAGGGAACACTACTTCGCTAAGTTCCTCACTAACATCAAGCTGCTGGAGTTGCAACTGAGTGATGTGAACTTCCGCAGATATGTGCTCGTCCAGTTCCTAATACTGTTTCAATACCTGAACGCCACTGTTAAATTTAAAAGGTATGTTGTGTATTTCCTGTGTGCTATTTAACTCTGCAAAACTTGCCAATACTTTGATGAGCGTTTGAGATTCTCACCGATGTCAGTAGGTGAACTTCAAAAATTTTAAATGAATTCATAAGGGTTTGAATTACCCTATGTTCAAACCGATAAATAAAGCACTATACTTATTTATATCACTCTAGCACAATTTGGTACTTTGGTATTATACGCAGGCCACCCTTTTACAGCGTGCTGAGTCGGTTGTGTTAGGTTGGGTTATCATAAATAGAAGGTATACGATACCACCTGGTATCGTTCAATTCATAACGAAACAAGGAAAGTCCTGCAAACATATTTATGATAATCCAACATTACATAACCGCCGCAGTACGCTGTAAAACAAGTGGCCTCCATATAAAACCAAAGTACCCACAATTTTTTGCAAATTTTGTTGCTCCACTATTTTCTACTGATTAATCAAATCAAATCATACTCAGGGATATTTATTTTTACATAAATATAAATATCTCAACTGTTGACATTCAAGTTTGTAGCAAGTTTGATAAAATGTCTGGTAAAGTTAATTCAAAGGCTGGCATCTCTTTGTGGGACAGCCATTAAATTTTATCTGTAGAACTTCATTGGTGACCTTGGCGGTATCTTTTTCCAGTGATAACCAAGAGTTGAAGGTCAATGAAGGTGAATGGGTGAAGGAGACGTCTGAGAAGGTGTACAGCCTACTGAAGGACACGCCTCCTGATGGCGAAGAGTTTGCTAGGACAATTCAGCACATTCTAGCGGTATTGATTTTGTACATCTTAATCATTACAATAACATCAAAAAATCCTTACATATTATGAGCTTAGAGTGGTTCATTTTGTATCAGGGCTGAGAACTTGAAAAGTTGATGTAGTGTCCATTGGCAGTTTAACTTTTAAGGCTGACCCCTTGAGTCCCCTCCCCTACCACTTGTTTTGACCATGTGAATTCCACATAAACATTGTGTTGAACCATGTAAAAGCAAAGGTTTTGTCCTTTCTGCGCTAATGTTTTAAGAAGGACTTATTGGTCCTAACTAGGGATGGACGAGATTGGATTTTTAGTTTGAGACGAGACGAGACGAGATTTTTTATTTCTCATATAAATTTCGAGACGAGATCGAGACGGGATTTCCCTTCTCATACACAACGGGAATTGCACGTTCAAAATTTTTACCTGATTTTGTAACATTGTTAGATGACTGTTTAAATACAAAAATAATGATAATAGGCAAGAATATTTACAATCTTTTATTAAAAAAACATCAGCATAACATTTTTTTATTAATCACGCCTAACTTATTAAAAATGCCTACGATTAGGAAACATAGTGATATCAGTTAGGATAGATTTAAACTTATCCTAAAATAAAATCTATACTATTATAAAAAAGAGGTGGTTGCTGTATGTGTGTATGTGTGTATGGGAAAAGTAAACTCGAAAAATACTGGTCGGATTGGGCTGAAATTTGGCATGATGATAGCTCACATTCGCGATTAACATATAGGCATATTCTTATTTCAAAAATCCTTTCGGGCTCCGCCCCAGTGGCTCTGGAGTTTCCCATGTTAACCTTATGAGAAATGGAATTATTGAATCTTAACAGCTGTTTCAATTAAACGAGTTGGTTCTGTTCTATGATGTTCAATAGCATTAAAGTTACAAGGATTACCAACAGGGTGCAGCACTATTATTTCTTTTACATTTATGACAACAGCTAATTTGCAACCAAAAGGTGAGTGAGCGTAGCGAACGAACTTCAACCTGGAGGCGAGTTAGCGTAGCGAACGAGCTAACCTGAAGGCAAGTGAGCGCAGCGAACGAGCTCCAACCTAAAGGTGAGTGAGCGTAGCGAACGAGCTCCAACCTAAAGGTGAGTGAGCGTAGCGAACGAGCTCCAACCTAAAGGTGAGTGAGCGTAGCGAACAAACTTCAACCAGGACGTGATTGAGCCATGCGAACGAGATAATCTTGAAAATTAAGAAGTTAAACGGGGCAAAGCCCGCGGGTTACAGCTAGTAAATCATAAAATAAAAGCAATATTAATTTTTATAAAATAGTTAGGTTTTGTTTTGACTTTTTATAGTAATAAAACATTCCTCACACTGCTTACACTTAACAAAACTTCTCAAATGTTATTAAAGTAATATTATTAAAATAATTAAAGTAATATTTACATTTAAAGAATTAATTAAATAATCCGTTGCCTTCGCAAAGGAAACGCAACTACAACACACTCCTGTATTGCGGGTATTGCATTGACTTTCTGCAGGCGTTTTTAATTTTTTTTTCTCGTCTCGATAAAAATCTCGGCCAAAAAGAAATCTCGTCTCGTGTAACGAGATTTAAAATTTCCCGAAATTTCGAGACTTGACCATCCCTAGTCCTAACAGGTAAATTTAAATATGTTATACAAGCTACCCTATTTGACGAAGGGACTCACATGCGCAACTTGTGCATTTCAATGGAGTTCAAAACTTGTTTCCAAGGCAAAACAATGCAATACCCTTTTACTTTTCAAAGAATATGTTTGTTTAAGACAGTCTGTGAATATAAGATTACATTTGTTGATTTTAACATAAACATAAACATGCATTTCTAGCGAGAAGAGTTCTGGAACAACTGGAAGAACGACGGGTGTCCAGAACTTCAGAAGCCTGTCGCTCCTGTCGACGAATTTGAAGAAGAACGGAAACCAATTAGAAGACGAAGGAAACGTCTGGGAGATATCATCAGGGATGCAACTGCACAGAAAAGATTCTACATGGGACAGTGAGTAATTATTATAATGAAAGTCTAAGTGTGGTGGATCAAAATTAGTGGGCAACATTTGTATCCAACTTTTTAGCAAGTCAAGGTTTTTATATGTATGAATTATTCAGATACCCTCCAACACTAAGGCATAACTTAATGATTTGATTAAGGAGTAATACCACAGAAAAGAAGGAAACTTGCTTATAGAGTTATAGAGTAACCTTGCGCTTTCAACTCTAGTTTGCTGTGTCGGAAATATACTTGTGACAAGCAAGGAAGAGCCTGAGCATCGGGCACTGTGTGGACATTCCTATCGCACAGAGCACAGGGTCTTCCTCCACCGTGAGTGTTGTATTAGATGAGATCGAGGGAGCCATTGTGGAACTTTAACCAGTGACTAGTGCTAGACACATATGATTTAAAGTGTACCATTGAATGTTTCCTCTTTACCTTACTTATCTGAGATAGACTCATCTAAAAAAGACCTGAGTCAATGTAAATATATAATTTTTGGTATGAAAAGCAATAATCTCCGCTGTAATTAAGCATTTAATGCCCTAAAGTGTTAGGACGATATACACATTTTTGTGTAAGCGTACGTTCTTCTATCTTTGATCAAGAGAAGAGTTGGGCTAGTAAGTTAAAAACTCTGTAGGCCTACGATTTTAGAATATGTTGTTCAAATAATTTTATCACATTTCTTGGCTTTTCATCATCTGTTAATCACATTAACTGTAATTTTTTAACCTTTGCAGTCCGGAACTCACTAAGCTGTGGAACTACAATACAGACAACCTTGAGGCTTGTAGAGCTCCTGAAAGGAACTTCCTCATGTCCTTGGAGGAGTATTTCAAGGAGGCCATCGAACAGTTTGATCCTTCAGCCATGGTGGAAGAACAGTACAAGTAAGCGTCAATTTTACATTTTCTTGGTTCCAAGAATTGAAGATAAAGTGTATTCAATTTGTTTTAATTGGTTCTAGGTACTGATGGAAAAGTAGAACCTTGTTTCGACACTTTATGGACCAAAGGGGTGTCGATCTATCCATATGTGGAACTATAGGGAGTATGTTGTACATTTACACACAGGGAGTAATTAAAGCATCTCCTGCACATTCTTTCTCATCGACTGTATAAAATATGTGGTAATATTCAACTAATTTTCACTTTGTAGGTTAGAAAAAATGTAAATTAATGGGATGGTTAAAGTATTAAGCTTACACAAAAACGATAAGAGGGCTATAGTTTTTTATCTTGGCCAAGGCTGCCGACATGTCATGTCATCTCGGCCCATGTCGAACTGTAGAGGTTTTACTGTACATTCAAATCTATTTATGCTTCAATGATAAAACTAGGGATGACTCGATTCTCCAAGCCGATTCTAGATACCACCGATACTTGGCCGCAGGTATCGGAATTGAGAATCGATTGTCAAAAGTCAGAAAAAGTTTTGCAATTTCACTTTCATAAAGAAAGAGTATGTATATTTATCTCTCATTTTTGTACTGTTAAAATATTAAATTACACATTCACTATCAAGTGACGCAAGGTCACTCGTACGGAGTAGGCTAACTTATGGTAGGCAAGGTGTTGATCAAAAGTAGTGCTATTGGTTTTAGTAATTTGTTTGGTATTATTTTAATGTTTTAATCACAGAGTGGTAAATGATGGGAACTTTGGTTGGCGAGCGTTGAGGCTGCTTGCTCTTCAGTCCACACACTTTTTCACTCACAGCAACAACCCTATCAACAAGCTACCTGAGTACCTGGAGGCTATGATCAAGAAGATTGCCAAGGAAAGGCCAATTGTACGTAACATAAGTACATTGTTCTCATATTCAGTTTTATTTTAAAGGGACTGATGTTTCTAAGTCGTGGAAATGTATCACGATCTGAAACGGGTGAATTTACAGTGATTCACAACAATGTAAAATAAGCATGAATATGGTTTCTTTTTTACTTTAAGAAACTCAAAATTTAAATTTACCAAACTTGACAATGGGTTAAACTACCGTCAAATTTTGGTAGACACCTTGAAACAGATTACTAGTCTCACTATTTCAAAATTAAATGATCATAACATACTTGTTGCTATTAGGATTAGTATTAGTTATAGGTAAGGCATATTATATGGCCTTAAGAAATATGATGCGACCAATATTCAATAGCTGATATTTAATTACATCATGAAATATTTGTTTTATTTAGCTTAGCTTTTGCATTTTTCCAGGCAAGATATTCAGCTCCTCATTTCCTTGAATCCCTTAATACCTCTTTCATTGACTTATGTGGACAATCATACCCTTCCTTACTCCCGGAATTTCTTATGGTAAGTTTGGTTGAAATCACATGTATTGTAAATGAATAAATTTTGTGATGAAAATGCACTAATTACAATAGAATTTGTTTGTTGTACCCGTAAAAATATTGTACAAAAATAAGTATATAGTGGTTTATATTACCTTGTTACTGCCAAAACGAGCCATTTGTAGTTTGTCAGGACTACAGCTGTTTCATGCTTCGAATGTAACACATCATCAGGTCAAAGAATGTCAAGTAGTAATTTAGAATTTCATTTAAATATTCCTCGTGGTGGAGTTTGTAAAAAGTTAAAAAAATAAGTGAAATAACACAAAACAAAAAATTTAGCTCTGGTCGACCAGACGGTAGCTAAACACATGGTGCCGGCTGAGGGTGAGTCGCGGCTGAAGCATGAATTAGTGAATTAGCTGTGGAAACTACAAACTACAAAGGATTGTTTTGACAGCAACAAGGTAATATAAATTACTGTATAGTTCAGACGAACCAGAGGACATTCCATCATGAAAAATAAGTTTGTATTGAGGGAAACAATAAAATGTTTAAAATATAGTTAAGGCGGCTCAATATACTAAAAAAATTATTTGAAATGGCTTTTTAAACCACAGCTCTATAAAAGTTGTCAATTTTAGAGGATTAAGTGGTTTTGTGATTGTTCAGCTCATGTTTTAGCTAGAAACAACCCGACTGCCTTTGGTAGCTGATTTATAACAAACCATTTTATTCTCCTAGATTCTTCCCGGTGGAGAGATGAAGACTCAGGAAGGCCTTGAGGGTGCGGATGCAACCGCAATGGACGTCAACGAAACCGAGGTAGAACCTGAAGCTGAGGCTGATGCCGAGGCTGACGGAGATGCTGAAGGGGAAGCTGAAGGGGAGGGGGACGCTGAAGAAGAAGATGAACTGCTCAAGAGAGATGAAAGTATGTTTGTGTTTTATAACATTTTCTAATTATGTTTTCTTTCATCAATATATGTTCTTTCTGTTTGATCAACATTTTTGAGGTTAGAGTTTTGGATGGGAATATCCGTTTTCAGTCTCCATGAAACCGTTAAAAGTGGTCTTCGATGTGATGTATGTGTGTGTGGATGTGTACACAGCTACCAAATCACCTGTGGTCCGATTTTGATTAAATGTGGTGGGTACTAATCCATGGTGTGCATAGGTTTTTATAATTATTTTTTTTTTCATTTTGATTTTTATTGTTGATGTTTTTTATAAAAACCAGTAGAGTAACAACAAAATTGGACTATCACAAAAAGGCACAAACAATTTTGATAAAAATCTAGTTTGTCATGGTGCTTTTTATATCATCCTTAACTAAATGGTACAATCCCCAATGCTGTAAAATTATGGTCCAAAAGTTAATGCAACTTACGTGATTTTGCCCATAAAATATCAGTTACTCGTACCGCTTACCGCTTAGCTTATAAGGGATGTCAAGCTAATGGGAGAAAGTATGTCAGTTTGCTGATACCGTTTATTTAAGATTGACCCCCCCCCCCACTCATGTCCATGTATTGAAAAATAGGTTTTTGGTAAAATATTGGGTCCATAAAATGATAAACTGTAATTTAACAGAAAAATAGAGAATTACAAACCCCATACCAAGAAAGTAATGTAATCACATGAATAAAAGCAAAAATAATAGGCCGAGGTTGGTACTATTATAAAGATGTCCCATAAGAAGGCAAAGTACATAATGTGTTGAGTTCAGAAGGATACAAGTTAGTGTGAAGGGTCAGTCTAGATGGTACAGTTGTGAGCTTGGCTGATCTGTACGGGAAAAAAGAAAAAGAAATTGAGGTTGAACTTACTTACTGCCGTGGCTCTTGGTACCCAAGGAGGAACTTTGCCTCGCCAACTCACTGCCTCCAGACTGCACGATCCACTGCTTCATCCTCCCTTCAAATAATATGCAATACCTTACATTTGTAAAGCTCTAGTGGTACCTAAGTTATCTGTATTTGTTATGCGTGTAGTAGTTGTTTATTAATATGTATTACTTGTTCATCCAAGTGAACAATGAAGAACAAGAAGCTACAGATATACAAGGAAGTGCTTCGAAGTGTAAAGTGAAGCCTGAAGTGTTTGACCTCGTTGCCCAAACTATCAACACCCAGTGGGCCGAGATGGCTGAGAAATTGGGATTCAAAGACTCGGTTGGTACCTTTCCTTTTTTCAAATTTATATACATCATTAGATTGTTTTCTTCTAGCTATTCCTGCAATACCTTTTTTGTTAAATATCAAAGGGAGAATGGTTTTGTTTTGATATCATTATATACCTTGTATTTTAAATCTGTATTTAAAATTCTATCAGGTACGGTATATGTTTTTTTGACCAAATTTATGCTAAACTATTTACATTTCATAAAAAAAACTATTTCCTTCCCTGCTGCAACCAACCCAAGTTCTCTTTAAAATCAATTTTATTTAATAGGATGTGATAATTAATTTTAATTTGGGAAGCGAGCTGGTCTAGTGGTTAGAGCGTGGGACTTCAGTCCCTGAGGTCCCGTGTTCAAATCCCGCCAAATCACCAATGGATTTTATCTAAATAATAATGCCGCAACCCCTAGGTCTAGCCTGAAGTAATGTGAAAAACAATCCCAGGATGGTGACTAGCGTTTTAGGACAAAAAATGACAGTTTTAAGAGAATATTTTAGTGAAAATCAAACCTGGTATTGTAATAGAAATTTTATTAGTCTACAGGTTGGCTGCAGCGGGGATATTTAAACTTTAGAGCTCACTCTTAGCTTATAAATGCAGTGTGTGATATAACATTATGTAACCCCTAGACCTTCAAGAGAAGTTGGAGGTATCTTTGTGTGTTTAAGTGAAAGTTTTTATTAGGCTGTTTACCTTGGGTTTCTGCCAAATTTCTTATTCGCCTAAATCTTACAAAAGTCTCACCCACTACTAGTTATTTTTACTCTTTTCAAGGTGACATAAAAACCAAGGTTACAAAATCATCATGTTGGACACTGTTTTAAACCATGTGATCGCTGTCACCCTGGACTTGTTTTAACCAATCATCATAATGATAGTGTAGTGTTTTCCACAATGCAAATATTTATCTTTTATTTCTTGTTAATTTTAATAATTTTCTATTAAATTGCCATTTTTGTTTTGTTAAATATTTGTTAATAACTGAAAAATCTAGTCTCAATACCGATGCCATTTACGGTTTATACTTGACAGCAGCTTATGGGCACTATTGCTAACAAGGCGTTTTAGAACAACAACAAATGTTATTCTCGATTTTTAAAGTTTTTTTGTACTTACCTTAGGATAGAACCCTGCTTACACCTATTTACAACAGAACCGAAGATTTGACAATCAATCTATAGTCAAAGATACAATATTAAATATGGAAAGGTTGTTGTACGTTAAATGGTTAAAGAGAAGGAAAAAATTCCATAAAACTGCAAATTTAAAATTTCTATGTTAATCTTAAGGGTAGTAAACAGTTTTAGTTTGCATGTTTATATAGATATAATGATCAAATTTAGCAATCTTATTTATTTTATACTCAATTGACATTTTACCAAAAAACACATTTTATATTCAAATATAAAATAGGCCTATGTTTAAAAATTTTAAGGGAATATTTACTGAAAATCCAACCAGGTTAATGGAAGTTCGCTTTGTTTGCTGCGGCAGGGGTATTTGTATTTTTTTTTTTTTTTTATTAGTTAGAGAGTCATAATGCGGACCAACCTTACTTTTAACAGATTTTGTTTTCTCCAGATCCAGTACATTGAAGAGTCCGCCAAGACAGATGTAGCTAGAGCCAAGTACGTGCTTCAGCTGAGATCAGAGGAAGATGTGGACATGACGCATCAGAGTTTGGCTCAACTACTCGAGAAGAACGGGTTCTCTAAAGCCGCCACTGCCGTGAAACAACTCATGTGATCGTGAGCGTAATGTGACATTTTGTGACTTTTGATTTGACAAAGTTTTTCTAGTAATACAGTATTGTTCTAAGTTAGTACCTTTTAAGTTCACTTTACAGTTTTGGTATATGTAATTAAAGTTCATCAATCATATAATATAACGGATTAATGTGAGAAAAGTTTTTTTTCAGTACTTTTTTTCTGAAGATCACAGATAGATTATTATGTTGTTGGTTAACTGGAATCAGTATTTTGTACCGTACTGTCTCAGTAATTTCATATCATTATACAGGTTGATATTTGTGTCACTTTTATTGAAAATTAATGGTTTTGAAACATTTTTACATTGAAATATATTTGATTTCACTGGATAGACTTGTGAAAATCTGACTGTTTTGTGTTGATTTTTTACCACCTTACTTTTAACTACATCATTATTTTGTTTTTTTAAAGGTTCTGAATTTGGAAAATAAACAACTCCAAATTCTAATCGAATTCAGTCAAATGTATGTCAGGATAAATGTAGTCTATAACATATTTATGATAAATTTCAACGATCAGTTCAAACGAGTTCGCGAACCAGCATGATTGGACTATGGGAACAGGGGATTATAGGGGGTTTTATGGTGTAAAAATTGATTTTTCCTATTTTTTACCCAAAAATAAATCAAATCTAGCAACTTCTTTTCAAATCATTTTGTAGAGCTTAAAAAAACAAGTAATATAGTAGGTCTATATTGAAGCGTTATTATGCGCCTAGTGGCTACGGAGAAAATATAAAAACATTTTTAATAAAAAATGTCCATGCTATTCTTATGGAGAACATTGTAAACATGTAGTAGTTTGCTTGTTTACGAGCATATTTTGATCAAATTTGGAAAATGCATTCATTTCCTTTTAAACTATTAACATTTAACAAAAAAACAGCTTTTTACCCTCCCTGTTGCAGCAAACCAAAGTACTTGTTAAACTGATGCTATTTAAATAGGAAAAAAATGTGACACTTTTATTTTTTAAGGAGACATTTTAGTTAAATCCAATCAGGCAAATGTAAATTTGCTTAGTTTGCTGTGGCGGGGGTATCTTTCATTTACCACCTAACACCTGCAAGTGCAGTAAATTAGAAAGGATGATTCAAAAGACAACTAAGGACTGTTCAAACTTTTATTCTTGATAATTAAGCTTGGTAATAAATACAGAATTATGAAATGCTCAAAAGCCTAACTATATTATCACAATGTTGAACTATGCTAGCAATAAATATTATAAATAGTGAGATTAAAATTAGAGGTCTGCTCCTAGTCTTTCGATTTCCTGGATCACGAAGCTCATATCTGCATGGTCCAATCCGGAGTTCTGGATGACGAGACGGAAAAAGTTTGGTAGATCTTTGAGAGGTTGATAGGTGATCATCATTGTGCCTTCTCTCATCATGCGCTCTTTGATTTTTGGAGCCACCTGGAAAAAAATTAAGATATTAAGATGAATCTATAAAAAAAACATTTATTTATTTTTCATGCTCTTGCTTTCAGTTACTGACAGATTCCACTGAACAGTGATACTGTTTTTCATCCTGTGGTTATGTAATTATAGCTATGTATGGTGAAAATTAAAGTTGTAATGGTGTACTTTCAATCATAGAAGAATAGGAAATCATTGATCTAAAATGGAAATATTACAAAGTTTGTATATTTCTTTATACCTCGTAAATATTATACAAAGTAACAAGGGTCTCATAACACAAGGGTTTCACTTATCATTAAATATGCATTATATAGTTTACCTTAGCTTATTCATTTGGTTCTTGAGACTTTGAACACTAACCAATCTTGTTTTGAAATGTGAAACAAGAGGTTCGTAAATATATGAAAAACAGAACAGATTGCGATGCAATTTGAAACCCATGTTCCTTACTGATCATAGATTTCCACTTTTTTTTGTTATTTAATTGTCGAGTTATCTCACAAATCTTTAAAGTGTTTTTACATCGAGATGTGAGTTTCGATTGCAAACTTTTTGTAAAGACAACATGGATTTCTTTCTTCAGCTCTCAGTTTACAATAAAAACCATGTTCCCACATTCATTTATTAAAGTCAAAGTCCAAAGACAAAGATTTATAATGTAAGGCCCATGCTATATGAATACAAGCGAAATAAGATGGCTGATAAGAACTAAGAAAATAACAGTTTGTCTTACGAATTACTTTTACCGTTCTTAAATTTTTAGATAGTCAAAATACTATTTTTCCCCACCAATTTCAACAATTAATTATGTAACATGGAGAACAAGGGCCTAGGTTTTTAGGATTTTTAGTGAAGATTGCAGGCTTGCCAGAATGGACTCACTGGCACAAGAAACTCAAAACAAAACTACTTTGTATAGCCTACACAAAACATTAGACATTTTCAACCAAGGAGAGAGAATATTTCAGACCTATTAGTGGCCAGGAAGTGCAACAGTGTTCCTATTTTAAACACTGTTGCAATAACGTCCTGGCACCAATTAATTCACTCTTCCTTAATGGTAAATGTGTTTAGTGACAGTGAAGGAGTGAAGTATTTAATTTTGTGTATAGTCATAGTGTAAAGTATTGTGTTTCTAGTTAACTTACCAGTTTAGACTCTTCCCCATTCAGGTGAACCAGCTATCCTCATTAAAATTCCAGTTTAAAGACCTCTAGTAGATAAAGATTCCAACTATATTACCCTAACTATCTTTGTGGGAATTCCCGTACCTTGTGAAGGCGTTGGTTGTAGTCTGGCTGGTTCTCCTGGCTGCGTAGACTGGGAGGAATGTACCAGAAGGTTACGTTAGTGCACTCAGGCTGATCCAGGACCAACTTGAACCCAGGTCTGTGGCGGATCTGTTCAGTGAAGAATGCTGCGTTGTCAAACACCGTGTCTATGTGAGCTGCCAGCCCATCTGTGCCCTGTAACAGTTGCGGCTTGAGTCAATCAGTAGTAGGTCCCTTAGTTGCCATTGGCTGTATGATTAAACAGTCCTGTCTAAGGAACATGTCAGCCTTAGTCACTAACAAGACTAAAGGTTTTGCCACTCATCTCCATTCATACTTTTCTTAAAATACCTACCTTCGTATGGTCGCCATTTCAATAAAAACTAAAAAGTATTTAGGTACTAGAGTAGGAACCAAATTCTCATTAGTTCTTTCTTTATTTCTTAAGAGAGTCAGCTGGTTTGTCTATTAATTATGTTGACAATGTAGTTTTTCATGTCCATATGATTTTGGATGTCAGTCCATTGCACATGCAAATTATATGTCAAAGTGGTTTCCAGATTTATTTTAAGATTATTTCCACAAAACTTGACCTAGCATCAGAAATTTGGATTACTTGACGAGGTATTGTACCATAATTACAAGTCAATTAATCACTCTAAATAGGTTTCATACCGTTGACTGTTAGGTTATAGTTAAATGAACAACTCAGTAGTCTAAAAATCTATTTCCTTGCGTAGTTTTTGTTACTGTGTATGATGACTATTTTACGAGACATAAAATATGAAGAAGTCTATGATAAGTTATCCTTTCAGTTTGAACTGGCTAAAATTTTGGCGTATTCTACATAAATCATTTACATCCTTGCTGTGTTGGTTCAATTCAACTAGATTTTTCATCATTCTGAAACTATCCACAACTGCAACTATGAAATTTCTATGTCCATCCATAGCCGGAGATAACATCCTTACCTTAGCTTTCCACATGAACCAGAACTTGAGTACGTCAGCGCGGCGGCCACACTGCACGTGCTTGTCGCCAGTGTCGTACCGGGTGTCGTAGAACTTGTCCTGTTGGAACAGGTAGGTAGCGCAGGCAGAGTGACAGGGGCCGAGCAGGTCTGTGTGTCTGGTCAGGAAGGTAGAGCATTGCTGGGGAGCTGTCAACAGCTTGTGTGGGTTCCAGGTCACCGAGTCAGCCCTGAACATCGTGATAAATTAGTCACGGTTATTGTCTCAAATGTGTGGAGTTGTAAGATACAAATTTAACATATTTGTTAGATAAGAGCGTTAAGTTTACTTTAGGAAAACGTCCCTGTTTATTTCTACTTTCTCCGTACATTGTATATGGAGAAAGAATTGTTTTATCAAAATTTTTTATTAGATTTTTGGGTGGTAATATCCGTTTGGATGAAATAATTTAATGATATAGAAGTGTTTTGGAACAGTGTTTCCTCGCTGTTATTTTTTAATGCTTTCTAATATTTCCAGTATGTTATCACTCAAATTTAAGCCTAAAACCTTGATTCCAGACTGAACACGTAACAAACACATTTAGTTAGTTTTTGGTCCGTTTCCATCAATTCTTCTTTTTTTCTTCTTTCTTTTTTTCTTTTTCTTCTTCTCTGCGTCAAAACATCTAGTTGCTCAAAATCATACATCAATCTTTTTGCCATTTAGGTGTCTGCTTTTAATTTATATTTGAGATGGTGGACTTAAAAATAAGTAAAAACTATTAGCAATATTTACTTATCTTACCTTAACAAGACCAACCAATTTTAAAACCTTAAATCATTATTTTCAAGAGCATTATTTATGAGTAAAAAATTCTTGTTTATATGCCAAAGAAAATACTTCTTTGTATATAAAACACGACATTTAAGAGCCAAAGAAAAGTAATTCAGAACCCATAACAAAAATGGTAATCACGTAATTGAGCAATTTTTGTACAGTTTCCGATTAGCAACAACTGCAAAAACCAGAACCTGATCCAAGGGCAAAGGCATTCAAAGAGTGTGGCTTTGACCTTAAAGGGTGAAAGTAACTGGTTACTTAATTGCATACCGGTATTCTTTGTCAGAGACTGTTCCTTATAATTAACAATCATAGAATGCGCTCTAACAATGTTTTTAGGATAAAAAGTCAACCTCCTTGCTTCACTTCTCAAGGACTTTCCTTCGTTGAGTGAACAAGTAAGAGTAAAATACACCAAAGGATTTTAATGAGGATTTTTTCTTTCTTAATAAATGTTAGGATACATTATCACCATTATTCAAGTTTTTACCCTTCAAACGTAAAAATGCCAAATTTTTAATAAAACCAACAAGTGGAGATAAAAAAATACATTGAAGCGTTTAAGGATTAAAGGTAACAAAGAAAATCCCAAAAACCTGTACATTCTAAATTCCCATGATATTCTTCTAGAGAAAAGTAAATTTTTCCCCTTCCCCATGGCAGCAAATCTAATGTAGCCTACCTGTTAAATGTAATGTTATTTATATTTCGGATAAAAATTACTTGTTTATGAAAATATTTTTTTTACGAGAGTGTTACTAGCTTAAGTGGTTATAGTGTCTCGGACTTTGGTGCATGAGGGACGCGGGTTCGATTCCCGGCACTTCTAGACCTACAACACGTGAGTTTCTACCGCTTTCCCTATTTGAAGTACACTGTACACATATCCTCTAGAGTAAAAATGCCAATTGGGTGAACAACAAAGAAAAAATCCAATCAAACAAATTAAAATTTGAGTAGTCTGCAGGATTACTGCAGGGGTATTTATCTATGGTGTTTATATTTCATGCTAACTACTAAGTTATCTCTATGTTATTTGTTCCAACATCAATATAGCCTGCCTTTACCAACATGGCTGTTCCATGTTTACATGTTTTACCATATGTTACCTGTGTATGCCGTTGAGTAGGTGACGATGTCTAGGTGACATCAAAGCACCTCCACCCCAAGCTGCGTCTACATGTAGCCATAGTCCGTTGGCTTCACACACATCAGCGATCTCCGGCAGCGGGTCAAACGCTCCTAGCACGGTGGTACCTGCAACACAGGTGCATGATGCTTTTATACTACCAACAAATAGGGGAGTGGTAGAGGGCAAGACTTTGGTCCTCGAGGTCCCGGAATTCCACCAATAACTAACTAGCCCAGTCAATATAGGTTTTGTGTTGGAAGTAATTAAACACTGTATTTTCTATGCTGGTTATACAGGGTGGGGCAGGGAAATATCCCTACTTTTAAGATGGCACTGTGAGTGGTGGGGGTGTGCTGGAGGAATGGTGTTAGGCTCAAATGAAGCTTTTGTTCTGGGAATTTCTAAGAATATCACTTTCAGTAGTAGACATGGCTTCTTCGAGTGAGCAATGTGCTTTTGCACTCGAGATGTATTTTTTTTCAAAAATCTGTCTATTGTTGCTGTGCAGCTACCGTTGGCTGCAAACTTGTTATCGGGTGGCCTGTCGCAGAGCTGTTACAATTTGGTGTGGGTGAATTACTTTCGTGTTTTTTGGTGTATTGCGAAGGATATTTGGAGCTCAAAGAACCTTCCGGGGTCCTGAAAACATTGACCTTGTCAGAAGATCGATTTGGCAGTCTCCTCAAAGTTCTGCTTGTAAGCATGCATCGGCACTGGCGTTTTCTAGTCATACTGTGCCTCGTATTCTCCATTATGACCTACACCTCCATCTATACAAGAGGGTAGTTGCTCATGAACTCACACAATGGGATTGGCAACAAACGAATGCAGGCGTGTGAAATCTTAATTGCGGGACTACCTCATGCTGCTCGGGTTTTGTTTAGTGACGAGGCACACTTCCATATTTCTGGAGCGGTAAATAAGCATAACGTGCTCTATTGGAGTGATGCTAAGCCTAGGGTAGTTTAAGGGAAGACCCAAGATGCCTTGAAGGATGCAGTTCACCTTGAATTTTGCCGCATTCCACAACAAATGCTTCACAAAGTTATTATGAACTCCAGAACCAGAATACAGCAATGCATTTAAGATTAGGGACACCACTTGCAGGATATGCTGTTTAAAACCAAGTTAAGTTATATTAAAATAAACTCCCAGACGTGACCTTTCAATCTCAATAAAAAGTTTGGTTCTAACATTTTTGGTTGTCTTTAAATATACCTTCAAAATTAGGGATACTTCCCTGCCCCACCCTGTATTTTGTTGAGGTGTGTTTTCCCAAAAACCCCCAATCCTCCCCTTGTGCTTTCTCTCCCCCCCCCTTTTCATATTTGCAGTATATTGGAACATTTTTACATGATTATGATTACTAATACCTAGTTAGTTTGGACATAGTGTTTAAATATACTACTGTAAATGGATTCCACAGGATTCGGTGTTAATGTGCACCACAACAATGAAATTCATTTGCGTTTATGGTTGTTGTATTTGCTTGCTACACAGAGAAGTAAGGTACAGAGAAAACTTGCTTATGGGACGACCGAGCGCTTTTAACTCTAGCATGTGCCTGCAATATACTTGTGACAAGCAAGGAACAGCCAGAGCGGTGAGCAATGTACCTTACTTCTCTGTGACAGATAGTATTATTAGACCTACCAGCTGTGGCAGACACCATGAAGGGCTTGGCCCCCTCCTGTATGGTCCGTTGTATCTGAGCACGCAAGTCGTTGACATCCATGCGACCCCTGGAGTCGGTCCTGATCAGGTACACGTTGTCAGATCCCAGTCCCTGCAGTGTAGCCAGCTTCTTTATGGAGTAGTGGGCATCCTCTGAGGTGTACACGACTAATCTGGGCAACCCGTGGAGTCCCTGACTCTGGAAATCGCAAAATAAAAATATTAAAATGTAAATTATGTATGACAAATGTTATCATAAAACGTCTGTGAGAAATTTTCAATTTAAAATCCATTGTGTGACTGATTCATACAATGACACAGTTAATTAGGGTCTATTTTATTATAATTAGAGATGGTTTTTCAAGACGAGATTATAAAAAATACAGTTTAAACCGCCTGCAGAAAGTCAATACATTAACCGCAATACAGGAGCGCATCGTTGCTGCGTTTCCTTTGCGAAGGCGTCTTTATTTAATTAGTCCATTACATGTAATTATTACTTGTAACTTTTATAATTTTTGTTATTTTGTTTTGACATCGCGAATTATGAAGTTTTGTTAAGTGTAAGACATGTTTTACTATGTAAACATAGCCATAACAAGTCACTCCAAAATCATATTGTAAAAATAACACATCACTGAATATTGTTAATTGTTGTTTTAGACTGATATATTTTGTATTTTTTAAAGTTGAACTATATCCTAACTGATATCATCATGTTTCCTATGCGTAAGAGTTATTTTTAATACGGTAGGTTGAATTAATATTCGCTATTTTCTAATATTTTAAATATTCTTGATTATTATTATTATTTTTATATTTAACGATCATCCGTCTAAATCATTAAGTACTTAACAATATTACGTTTTTTAGCCACATGTGTCAGATTGTTCCAAATAATCATGATGTTGCCAACAGGTTGATTGCCAGGGGATAAGCAAACAACAACAAATCATGACGTACAGTATAAAAGGTTGGACCGTCATAAGTACAAAGAAGGAAAAAAGCGACAGAATAACTCTTACAAATTCCACACAAGATTCCCACACACTTTTTGTCTTGATATCAAGCAAATTTTTTTACAAATACCCGCAAAAACGTCACCATGTTGGCAACAATGGCAAACTCACCTCAAGGTTTTCCACACATCAACTTTTATCTTCAAAGCAAGCACTTAGAGTACCGAATTGTAGCCAAAAAACTAACCTAAAACTAAACAAACAAGACCAAGAACCAGTTATTCCTAAAATATGTGAAACTTTTGTCATGCAAAACAAGTTATACCTAAAACGTCAAATACCGTTCGTAGTAAAATAAAACAGCCCACCTTGACTTGGGGCAGGGCGTGGTAGCGGGCGCAGCTGATGGCGTACCCGTTGGCCATGGAACCTCCGGGGCAGAAGATGCCGTCACCCTGGGTCCAGCCGACGATCCTCCTCATCTCCGCCAGGACTTTCTCCTCCATCAGTGTGAAGACGGGGGACACCTCGTACGTGTAGACGCTGGGGTTGAGAGCGTCCGTGAGCCATTGGCCTACTAGGCCGTAGGGGTCGACGCTGTGGAAGAGCCACTAGGTTAGGAGGGTTACGATAATCAGGTTGAAGAAAGGTATGGGTATATGGCTGGGAGAAACCATCTGAGCATTTCGTCGATATTTGTAATATATAAGCTGACTCCATAGTGAAACAGTATAGGTTTAAATGATTTGGCCTATTGGATTGGTTAATTAATTGGTTACAGAGGTATTGGGTATGGTGATTCTTTATTTACGGTCGTGCAGGACTCAGATAGTGTCTACGTCTTAAACAATAAAAAACAAGCAAAACAAGTTTCGTTTGATGATTTTTGTGTACTTGAATTCGCAAGTATTCCTAATAGACTCTGTTACAAGTCACAACCCTAAAAGCGCGTACCCTCTATTGTAAAGCTGACTATTTACCATACTCCAGCTGACTTTACCGGCCCCTTTCTGTAAACGACTTTCTGGCCTAAAAAAATACAGAAAGAAGCTATTTACTGTGTAGCGAAAAAAAAAACGTGTTTGCTATATTGAAGTAAACTGTCTTCAATAGTTAAATAATCTCTGAAAAAAATGCATACTGCAACTAATAAGACTGATTCCGGGGGCGAGCTCGTCTAGAGGTAGAGCGCAGGGCTTCGGTGCGGGGTCCCAGGTTCAAATCCCGCCAATCACCGAATCACCTATGAATTTTATCTATGCGATAATCCCGTAACCCTCTAGGACTAACCCGAAATAATGTATAAAACAGTTCCGGGATAGAACTAGTGTCCGAGGACGTGAAGGTGCATAACAAACTACAAACTGACTCCAAGATCTCACCCAGAAAACAGCTGATTCATGAAGTACGGATGACCAGTCTTGACGCTGTACTTGATGGTATCCTTGACTAGGCCCAGGAGTCGGTCATGGGTGAGGGGAGACTTGTCCAGGTCCAGGTCCAGGATGTCCAGGAGTTTGTCAGGATCAGTCCAGCGCAGCACGGGACTCTGTCTGTCCAGAGAAAACACCGCCTCGTCCAGCATCACGTTCACTGCCTCCTGTATAGGACATGTAAACTTTTAAAATTTTCTGTAAAGTATTTTTGCAATAACAATCCCTTTTACAACCCCTGATCTCTTTAACTCTTTTACGTCAAACTTTGTTTGTGGACAAAATGTTTAATTAGTTTCGTAGCATTTGCCGTAGTGTAACAAAGCAATATTTCTCGGATACTTACGCTGGAAATCTGGTCATTTTGTACACAATGGTATAGCTTACAATACATCAAGTATACGGAAATATTATTATAAAATTATTTTAACTAAAAGCTCACTACAAAAATATACCCTGGAATGGGAAAATGAAGTACCGGTATATGGAAACTCAACATTATAAGTACTTTACAAAAGGACCGTGGCTTTCCTGTCGTTGACGTTATTAAACTTGAGTTCAATTTCAACTTTTTAGTGGGGTTGCCAGGTCAGCCGGGAATTATATATGTTTTTATCGATCTTTGAATTATGTAGGGTAGTTCCAACATAAACTACGTTTTTACTTCCCATACCAGCACAAGTATATAGACTAGTAATTTTTATACCATAGACTTGACAAAGGTTATAGTAAAATGTTTTTGTCTGGTTACATCAACAACAAATAACTTATATTATAACTGCAGTTTTTTTTTTTTTTTTTTTGGGGGGGGGGATGTAGGTAATTGATGTGATAGTAACCAACAAACTTTGCCGAGACATCAATTTGTGTTCTCTCTCCCTATAGCAAGTTTCTTGGAGAAGTTATTATTTACGTCAACATTTTTGAGTTTGCGGTTTTGGGCGCAAATATACGTTTTTTAAAAGTGGTTTTTGAAGTGATGTCTATGTGTGGGGTTGTTGCCAGAGACTACAACTGAGTTCCAATTTTGATGAAATTTGGTAGTAATCCATATAACCAGGCATTTTTCCGTTTTTTTAGATTTTAATTTCTTAATAGTTAAAAAGTAAAAACCATAAAATAACGGAAAAATCGAATTTTCACGAAAATGGCACGAACATTTTTGATTGGCACGTTTTTTAATTAAAATTCAGTATGATAGTTCTCTAACTATACACAAAATAAATAAATTCCAATTCTTTAAAATTTGCTTTTCAAAAGCTAATGCAACTTTTATGATTTTTTCCCATAAATTAATTTGTTACTCCCAGCCCTTCCCATGATAAAGGTTGTTGGCAAGCTAATGGTAGAGAGTATGTATCATATTCCTGACACTCTTTATTTAAATAAATATCTTATACTTATAATCATCCAGAGTATACGCTAACCAACCCAATACACCCCTGCAACTATAAAATATACCCTGTAGTTATTGACTTAATTTTTACTGACATATAATAATTGTTTAGACATGCCCACTTGTCATCTGTGGTTTTCTGTGATGTTTAAGTTATTGACTACTAGCTGTACCCGCGGGCTTCGCCCCGTTTAACTTCATAAGTATTCGCATGGCTCATTCACGTCCTGGTTGAAGTTCGTTCGCTGCGCTCACTTGCCTTCAGGTTAGCTCGTTCGCTACGCTAACTCGCCTCCAGGTTGAAGTTCGTTCGCTACGCTCACTCACCTTTTGGTTGGAAATTAGCCGTTGTCAAAAATTAATAGTGCTGCACCCTGTTGGTAATCCTTGTAACTTTTATGCTATTGCACATCATAGAACAGAACCAACTTGTTTAATTGAAACAGCTGTTAAGATTCATTAATTCCTTTTAAATATGAAAAATCATAAGATTAACATGGGGAACTACAGAGCCACTGGGGCGGAGCCCGAAAGGGTTTTTGAGATAAGAATATGCTTTAATGTTAATCGGGAATGTGAGCTATCATCATGCCAAATTTCAACCCAATCCGTCCAGTAGTTTATGCGTGATTGAGCAACAAACACACACACAAACATACACACAAACATACACACAAACATACACACAAACTCACAAACTTTCAGATTTATAATATTAGTAAGATGAATTTTGTTAGCCCCTAATCCTAGCAATGGTTTATATATTTTGATTTTTATAATTTTAACGCCTATAATTGACTAAGTAGGAAAGTGTGAAATTTAATGAACAATTATTGCAAAACGAGTCTTTTGTGAATCATTATTCAAATATTAATTTAAGTAATCATAGTATTTTTTTACAAATATATTTATTGTAAAAGACATAATATAATTAACTAGCATCAAATTAAATTCTTTAAGTCCAATACTGCTCGTGTGCTTACATTATGCACTTTTTATGTGCAAAAGTAAAACTGTTTTATCCACCTGTATGAAGGCCTGGTGGCGCTGGCGGTCCGGCTGGCTGTGGTACTTTGCCACGGCTTCCTTCGTGGCACCCACGGCGCCCTTGGTGGCTCCCACGGCGCCCCTCACGGCAGCCATCTCCCGGTGTACAGGCGGGTCCAGGAGTAGATCTGCAGCGGCGGGCATGGTGGCGCGGGTAGGACTGGAGTGTCCCTGTCGTCGATACCGGGGTATACCTCCCGTGGCAAGGCCGACCCTCCCACTACACTGCCGACAATTAGCGAGGATAGTTGATCAACTCATCAAGGAAGATTCTAATTTGTTCATCCCTTAGTTTAGAATTAAATACACTATTCGTGAACATACAATATTCGCGAAGTTTAGTTGTAGAGTCTTTGTAACGCATTGGCATTACCTAATACCATGGATAAAACATACTCCCTTTCATTGTATTATGAATACATTGGTTTATGTAAATATGGTCCCTATCCTTATGGAGTTATGCAGAAGACAATTTTATTGTTCCGTTCGTTGCACTGTATAGGTTGTGTTTTACAATTTGTTTCTTGTAATTTCGGTCATTTAAAACCTCGTGTGTCCAAATAAAACGATATAATTTTAAACAATAACTCGTACCCTAGTTATAACCAAACAGTAAAGCTCAAATCAAGAAATTAACCCTAAATAAAAATGATTTCGTCGACACTTTCGCGATCAGTGTCACCGGACATAAACTGGACACGAAAAACTAGCTTCAAAAATGTTCAATGGGACGAGAAGTATACTTGTGTTGTCTATGCTAATACATCCACCTTCCACTACAATAATCGGGTGCAATCGTTTCTGTCGTAGCTGATTGCTTATAGCACTCGCATAGCAATCCAAAGTTTGCAGGTTCGATCCTGAACAAAGGCTACTCAGACATAAGATACTGTATTGTTATTTTAACGTTTTCGCTAGGTCACATCGTGTTCCATTTAAAATGCCAATTTACGAAGACGACAAAGTATCCAACTTTTTTGTCGTTTGGTTAACAGGAATTACAAATTGAATCTTGAAACTCAAATCGTGTCTCTTGTGTATGATCATGACACAGACGATAACGTATTACTAATCTTCTGGCCCAAACTATCAACTATACCCTAATTATAGGGGTAATTGTCGAACTGTAAGTGTAAAAGTTATTCTACAGAAAACCAGGAACTCCAAGCTTACTCGTTGTAAAATTGGTTAGCTTAAATCGTCATAAAAACTATATAAAGTTGTTTAAAGTTAAAACTTCAAATAGAAGTTAAAAGTGCATAACCTGTTTGTACCTTAGCAAATTATTAACGTCATCCGTATATACATATAAATCCCAAAGTACCCATGGACTTTTGAGAAAACTAAAAGTCAAACCCCTATAAACCATACTTAAAATGTTTGTCATGGCGAGAAACCTTGTGCAAAACTATCAATTATTTCATAAATTGCCCTTTAAGGTCGTAATTCCTTTCTAAATGGAACTTTCCACATACCTTATGTTAAAATACTTCAGTTGTACTTATTTGTTTGTTATTCTTTAAATTTTTACCTTATTAAAATTAGTTTGGGATTATATGTTTGTATTACTTTATTCTGTTTTTATATTTCAGCATAACTTAACCAATCAATAGTTTTATTAATACTTATGAAGTCAAACGGGGCGAAGCCTGTGGGTAAAAGCGTAGACAAAAAGAATTAAACAGCTACTGTAGTACTGACTTAAAATCTCTGCTTCATCTTATGTAGGAATTTCTAGAGGTTCCAGCTGTTACTTTTCATTATTGCATTGTTCACAGCAACCTTGACGTAAAAAAATTAGCTATTCAACGACCGATAAAACAATAGTAAATAAACATTATAATTGTGTGGCAAGTTTGTATTCATTTGTTTGCACCTGTTACTTTTACTTGTCTTTGTACGGGAAGTGTTACTTGCGTAATTATCACAAATAATTTGTGATACCCTACTTCTATATGTATTTCTGGATAAAATTAGCAGTTCAAGTTTACAATACACGATGACGTATTGGTTGGATTTCATCATATAAAATTCTGTGGAGGTCATGTATAGGGTCTAAAAGGGGTGTGAATATTAAGTAATAATATATATTTCACTAGACCTTAGTAAAGGATATTACCTAAAATTGAAATTTAACAAAAGACATGACATTACATGATAAAACTAGTTCCTTTAATTAGTTCAAATAATACAACGTCCTGCCTCCGTTTAAAATATAATTTTCAAAAATGATAAACAAATATTACAGCCAATCACTGGGAAATGTTTTATTAATCATTTATCTAATTTGTTTGTTGTTCGTGATATTTCAATAATGTTGGACCAACAACCTGCATATAAAAAACCGAATTTATTTACAAAATGAATTTACATCACGATCAAGGGCTTAATAGACACGCTAAATACAAAGTACGGTTGATTTTAATTGATGTTAACAAGTTGTTCTTGCCAGCCTTGACTGGACGTTTCTGATCTTGATTCCTTCTTTCTAAATTCTTCCGCCTGTATCAGCCACTCGGAATAATTAGTAATTGCATATTTGTAGAAAACTTTCAAACAATTATATGCAAACATTTATCAACACGTTTTACGATGATGATCTGTACAGAACTACACTCCCCCCGTAAATTATACTAGCTACCAAACCCGTGCTTCGCAACGGGAAGATGAGGAACGCTTAAGAGAATAATTATTATTCCATAGATCTGCTGTATGTAGATAAACTTTTAGTAATCCCGCCACTAAAAGTATTAACTTAAAATATTAACTGGCTACTTTCTTTTTCCAGACATTTTTTTTAATAAACCATACAAACCATATGGGTCTGCACCAAACTTCATACAAACCATCCTTGAACAATGCTTAATAATGCCTGAAAGTTTCATTACAATCTGTCGAGCGGTTTCGGAGTCCATAACGTTCAAATATATATACATACCAACTTCCTCTTTTATAAATATAGATAGTTTTCAAATGAGCACTAAATACAAAATGTGTCGCTCAGTATCCGTTTTAAAGACTATGGTTCTTAAAATGATAAACCTAACAAAATATGTTTCCGGTAATCAAAAATAGTACGGTGGCATCGTCCTGTTATCCAACGACTAGGAGGTCACTAATTGTGGATATTTATAGGCATGCACTGTGGATGCGATAATCCCTGGTGTGGATTAACGTCTGCACGGGTGAGTACGACTATCCGCAGTACTGGTTCGGATTCAACTATAAACTGTAGGTTCCTTAGTTGCCATTAGCTGTATGGGCTACTCATTAACAGCTGTTACTAAGGAATATGTCGGCCTTAGTCTAACAAGACTACAAGATCGCGCCACTCATCCTACACTCATCTCCATTCATAATTGGCTTAATATACCTACTTTGTATGGTCGCCATTTCAATGAAAGTATTAAATGTTGTAAGTACAATATTAATACTACCCCAAAATCAGCGGCTAGGAGGCTTCAATGCTTCGGATTTTTGTTCTCACAACAATTCCTGATAGAACCCCAACATGTCGGGAAATGCAAAAGCAAATGCAGAAATGCAACCCCCTACCAGAGGAACCCCTAATAGGTTTTTGGAATCCCATTGAATCACTCCGGTTGGACCTCAACTAGTTGGTGAAACCTCTAGTAGTACTTCGGTTTAAACCCTAACATCTTGGGGAATTCCTTTCAACAGTGTGGCTATGTTGGTGTTACATACAGGCAACTCCTAGGCTAGCACCCTTAACAAATTGTTGAAGTAATTGCCCTCATGGAAACTTCTAGCAACACCAACCTCCAAAGAGTATGTACTATGTACTATGTTGTTCGCTACTAGGATTCCAAAAGATCCTTGCACCATTGCAACCCCGCACGCGTCCAAAACGTGCGTTGGTGCCTTGAAACAATCTCCCCACATGCGTTTCCTATGATAAAAACGACCGGATCGCCTCGGAAAGCAATTGGACAACGAGCGATTAATCAAGAAATGATAGAGGAGGAATGGCCTTGGCCTCTACCGGCAACCAGATCACCCGGGCTTTCACCGCGAAGGGAGGAAGGGACGAAAGGGGACAAGGCTCCGGGCCTTGGGTAACCATCCGCAGAATTACAGGATGGCCACTGGTCAGTAGGATTGTGATTGGAACCAGAACAATGAACTTGGTGTGAAACAGCTGATAGGTGAGTTCTGTTCAAAATTGTAATCTTCTGCAATACAGATATTTGAGAAGTTTTTGAGTTTGTCAACCAACGAGTGAGTTCATCAATTTGTATATTGGTCCCTTGGATGAGCTCGAAAGAAATATTTGAAACTCGATCTTTGTTTCAAACGATTTTGCCCTTCGAAATTTGGGCCGAAGAACCCAAAAAAGGCGAACGGCGTTGACACCTTTCCCAGCTTAATAACAGGGTTTGAATTATCAAAGGAGCCATGTTTCGGCAAAATAAGAATGTTTGGGAATTTAGCTTTTTTATAGATTTTATGGTTAGCTGTTTGCTTTGAGAGTGTAATTGAGAAAAAACAAACTGTACAACAATTTACATACAGTACATTACAATTTTTTCAATTCATGTTAATTAACAGATGGATTTAACGTGCTCACAACCCATTTAGGCCTACCTCCCTCACATACCGTCTTCCTTTTTGTCTACCAATTACTTTTCTCAAGATGAATTTTTGTTGCGTAGACGTCAGTGTACTGCTTGAGAGCTCACTTTTAGAGAGGCGTGAAAGTAAAATGGTAACCACTGGCAGCACCCCTCGTAACATACTTGAGAGCTGATAAAATATTATCAAACCCGCATCCAAATATTAACTTTTTATGATTTTAACGTAATTATTTTTTTCTTAAAATAAACAAAACTAAAGTCCTGCAATGTGCACGTTCACCTTTAATCATTAAATATTACGGGCATAGTATTATTATAGGGTAAACCTGGGGGAAGTGAACCATAAAATCTAGGTTTCGTGAGAATAACTCTAGCCGTCCCTGCTACAGACAGGTGCACCACCATGTTGGTGGCGAGAGAAAACTGTAGAAAACAGAAACGCAATGTTTATTTACCATTGTTTTATCGGTCGTTAAATAGCTAATCCTTTTACGCCAAGGTTGTTAACAATGCAATGCTGGTTGTCACACTGTTATAACCTAGAAATTCCTTTCGACGTTTTTAACACCTTTAACCTTCCAAAG